GTTTGCCTCCATTTTTTATAACAAAGAGGGATTTTTTTTGAGGTGTTGGGCACCAAGAACTCCCATTGACTTTAAATTAGAATTAGGCCTTGATAGTCAATGGGATTTAGACTCAAATTCCTTTTGAAAAAGACATTTAGGCTCCTAAATTAGTTAGGCTGTGCAACAGAGTATAGCAATATCTAAATTGACTGAAGGTGGGCAGGGTAAGGCATCCGGGGAAGGTGGGCTGGGTCCCCTGGGAGCTACCAGGCACCCACCTCCACCTTCCCAGGGCTGGAGTGGGTGCCAGGCTGAAGGTGGGCAGGATTAGGCAGCTGCTGTTGTGGGGGGAGAGGGAGGCTGTAAAAATCTGGGCCTAAGTGTCTATACGTCTACACTATTTCGGAATTACTGATGTTATTCCAAAAGAACATAGTCCGTGTCTACACTACAAGCAGTTATTTCGACATAATGTCAAAATAATGTTGAGCTTAAGGACTTCTTACTCCAACTCCTGTAACCCTTGTTTACGAGGAGTAAGGGAAGTTGGAGGAAGAGTGCTCTTTCTCGGACTTCTTGCTGTATAGACTGCGTCTAAAGCCAAAAAAAGCTATTTTGACTTAAGCTACGCAATTGACATAGCTCAAGTTGTGTAGCTTAGTTTGGCTTTAGCCCTGCTGTGTAGACATGCCCATATATGATTCATTAGCAATCCCAGAACCAAGAGTCTTCCCCTCACACTCAATCATGAGACAACAAGCCCTTCATGAATAATGGAAGAATACATGTTTAGTAATGAGATATATTTTACTTTCAAGGTTTTTCAGTGCACACCCATAATAGAGGATTGATTTATAAATGAAAGAAAACCCTGTAACAATATTCTTTTTATTTAAATGTGCTTTATTAAGGAGAATATTAGGCTATGTAGCTAGTCCGTGACTAAAAAATATGCTGCAGGGATCTGAGTATAGTGAGATGATCTGTAAATTATGAATATTTCAAGTTGTTTATTGTCAAAGCTAGTACCTTTTACATAATTTCCTTTTAATTAAAAAACTTTGTAACTAACCTTGGTAACTGCTACAGTCCAAGCAAACAATAATGATAAACACTCATTATAGCTAAAGCAATACTATCAAGGGACCAATCCATCTCTAAGTACTGCTGTGTTTAATTATGGGTCACTGTTAATTAATCTGGCAGTGCTTCTTCTTGTTGGTTTGCTGTCAACAACAATTATATATTCTTAAAGAGGCAAAATCATTTTATTTTGGCTGAAATTCAATAATGCATTAAAATATGCAAGGGAGGCATGGAAAGGGCAATACTGCAAGCTGCCCATTCAACCAAAATAAGTGCACATAAATGGATAAACTAGAGCTATTAATGATTAGTGCAGTGAATCAGTGCATATATCTGAAAGAATGCACTAGGCAATCGATTGTTTCCTTCCTTTTCTTTTACAAAAGCTGTGTTTGAGAAAAATCTCCCATCAGACACAAAAGTTTTGGTATGAGACCTGTCTTTTAGAGGGAACCATTGCTTGTCTCTGTACAGTGAACATGCATTTTAAATGCCATTCCTAAATACATTTTCCACCTTTAAAATTATATGATCCTACTAATGAGTTAAGCATATATACAGTCTTTCTGTGTGTGTTGTTTTCACAAACAAGCCCTGTTCTAACTGGAGTTAGAATTTTGTAAGTAGTAAATACAATTTTTGCAGTATCTCTGAAAGTACCAGAGCCAGGAGATGCTAAGTTTAAATATCAGGAACTACGTGGTCCATGATCCATCCCACAAGCACGATAATACCAGGAAAGCAGCAGTACTGCTCTGCTGCAAATAAGTCAGATGAAAACAAACTCCTTTCTAAGTAATCTAATAATTATTTTGAGGCCTCTGCTGTTTAATGTTTTGATACTGATTTGCAAAGGAGCAGGAACATAAATATACTGAGGCATTCTGCTGGTGATTTGGCTACCTATCTTCTTTTCCTTTTTCAATGCTATACCACTTCAGAGACCTATACTTCGGAAAGCATATATTAATATTATATTATTTACACTGAGGATACCCTATCCTTAATAATATTTTGTAGAGCAAGATTCAGGTTAGCTCTAAGAAAGCAGGGTCACCCTTTATGGAGGTACCACAGAGTGTGCAAAAATGATACAAAGTCATTCAACATCAGTGTAGAAAGCTGGGAAGAGTGTGAAGAATCTCATCCAAATTTGAGGGAATATCTGGCACTAGGTGTAGCTCAACATGATGCAGCTTTGATCCAGAGGATGGAAACAAAGCAAGAAAGAAGAAAGCAGTGTGCTGTAATCCTGGAATCTAACTCAGACAACATATGGACCTGTGAAATTTGTAACAAGCTGCGTCACGCTTCAATTGGACTTGTCAGCCATAAGCGGATTCTTCAAACACCTGATTAGACCTCTTACGCATATACCATGATCCAGTTTGGATTGATTGTTGACAATGATGCTGATGATTTACACTGAGTATGAAGAAAAGTGAAATTAAGAATGGAACTGCATGAGTAGCACCATACTTGTCACAGCTGCTCATATGATTAAGAATTCATGAAAAGCTTCTGCAGAAGACCAATAACAAGTGGGAATGGACTAGCTGGTTTTTTCTCCCTGTCCATGAATCAATATAACCACAATTAAGAAAGATGTATATCATTTGCATTTTGCTTTTTGCTTACCAAAGTCTAGCACCTGGTACTAATTAGTGCTGTAGCTGGATTAACTCATTCACTATAGTGATCAGCCATTGTTTTTGCACTTCCTCTAGCCTTTGCCATTGGATAGTATTTCCTTGTCCTTTTGTCTCTACTATCATTGTCATCACATTTTCTTCTCCTTTCCACTGAAATAAAGAAAGAATATCATGTTCTCATGCAATGTATTCTTATAGAGAAAACGCAAGATTTCTGAAATGAAAAATGAGGAAGCCTAATTTTAAATACCCCATTTTATTTTTTTAATACTTGGATGGCTCTCTCCTTTTTTTCCCTATCTGGTATCTCTTCAAAGTGGCAGTGAGCAAAGGTAATCACATGAATGATTAACATCTAGAAACTGATGAGATCTCGTGTGTCTTCCAGGAAGAGCTCACTAACACTTAGTAATAAGTAACACTAAGTACTAAATAATTCAATGACACACTTCTTGTTTGCCCTCTTCTTTTTAATCCATCCTTGAAAACCATTTCTTCCAGAAAGTCTCCTTATTTTCTTCTCACCAAAAATCTCTCAACAACACTTGCCTGCCTGTGTCTGGTTCTTACTGGCTCCTTTAGATGATCTTTAGGATGCAAAACTTGTTGAACTTTTATAAATCTTTAACCAAATATATGGGAATATATAACTACATTTAATAACAGAGATATCACATTGTCCTTTAACTGACAAATCTCCCACTGAAGTAAATTTGGGCTGATATTAAAAATTACTCCCCTAATACTGTATGATGATAAAAGTTGAATTTTTCCTTTGATACCTCTCTCCACTAAGACAAGGAACCATGGTGAAGTTCAATTCTTCAGTCACAAAAATTCTGTGATATCTATGCTGGCCAGAGACTTTGAAGACAGCAGCAAAAGTTACTCTATAACAGGAAAAGGTACCCTCATGGATATATTTACACTAAGTGA